ACACACACACACACACACACACACACACACACACACACACATATCTGTATACAGCATGTAATATTATTAAAAATTAGTCCCATGTGATCCTAGGTTAGCCATACTGACCCAATTTATTAGGTGCAAGGTTATTTCCAAAGCAACTCAAGCCAGTATCCATTTACTGTACTCATTGTACTTATGCCATAGTCATGCTCTTAGGAAGTACTTTGTCTTTGTAATTATTTTCCTACTTCTGTAATCAGATGTAGAAGTAGTATACAATAGTTGTCATTGGAGGAAATTGAGTATTGTGTGTAATATGAAATGCATTTATTCATTTTTCTGTGTAAATATGTACCTTTTATTTTGAGGTGTGAAGCAAGCATTGTGGCTAATGAAGGCAAAGCTAATAAAAGGCTTACCTCCCCCAATACTTAACATAATGAATGACATAACTTACCAGTTGGAGGACCAGGATGAGAGAATTCTAAATGCAATTTCTCATGCTCGTTTTTGGGCTGGCACTGAAGACGATATTTTCTTTAATAAATACAGGTATGTTTTTAGCCTAGGTTTTCTTTGTAGCTTCAGAGTTTGTTGGTGCTCTTTGTCATTCTTTTAAACAAGTTTTTTAAAGAAGTTAAAATTAAACAAGTTTGTTTAATTGGATTATATCTTGCAGTAGCTTCCAAAAATGTGTAGAAGAAATATGAGCACTGCATTCTCTGAGCTATTGCTTATTATACTTTTACTGGTTTCTGCTTGTAGAGTAGATAGTTCATCCTCTTAAATGACTCAGAAATGCTGTGTTGGATATATGTATAAGTACTCTTCCATGTAAGCTGCCTGGAGTCACCATATATGAGTTGGATGGCCAAATAAATTTGATTGACAAACAATTACATTTTTAATTTTATAAAAGAATTTTTTACTATCAGGAATTTGAGAAATATTTTTCTGAGTTTTTACCTTGTATTCCTTGCATAATACCATATGGCTGTCTGAAAATGTTAAGCTAGACAACTGCTGGTGGTTATTACCAGTGTATAAGGTGCTTTACAAAGAAAAAATGGACAAACATCTATTCCAAAATTTATAGGGATCAGCAACATGGTGCCCAGTAAAAATATCTGAATCCTCATTAGATTAGAAAATC